ATTCTATGGGCTTGAAAACCCATAGAGAAGTGACCTTCCTTTTCAATTCAAAGCATGAGCCCTGTGCGTCTGGTCCATTGCACCAGGCTCCTGGTGAGCAGCTGCACACCAGCTTCTAGATTTGACAGCTGTCTCCCGTAAAGCAACTTCCTTCAGTGCATTGCGCCTCTCTAGTAGGGGTTCTGCTCACAAACCTGTCTTAGAAAGTAAGCTTGCTTCTCCCAGCAGTTGCTATTATGGGAACAGATTCATCTCTGGTGGCTGATGCCCAGCATGAATTAAGCTGCTGTTTGATGAACACCTACAGTGCTGAGATGTAAACACACTTCATTAACTTTCTTTGCATTCTTATAAAAATTCTGGTTATTGAGATGGTCCAGTAACTGAATAAAAAATTGTAAAATTTATTCTTCCATGTCCGCATCTGTTAAATGAGGATGTTTCTGAAGAATGATGGTAGCCCACACGTCATCTTGTCTGGGCTTCCAGCAGCAAAGTCTAGCTGCCACAGGAGCTGCTAACAGTGCAGCACTGGAGGCTTGACTGTGTGAAAATACATGTATCAGATATCTACACTATTTCTTACAAAAGTTTGTAACCCAGAAGGTTGCTGCTGCTATTGGATCACTGCATATACCTAGACAGCATAGGTATTTCCACTATACACATGAGGATAAAACAATCCTATAAAGCAAAAGAGTGTGCTGTATGATATCCAATTTTACAGAAAAACATTAATTTTTATGTGTTGATAGCTAATGAAATATTCATCCTTGTGGAGAGCAGCTTTGAAGTTATTGCATATACAAGCACAGGAAGGGCTCTGGAGTCATTGTGGGGCTTATGGTAGAACAGGTCTGCAGCTATTTATCTTTCCTTATCGTACATTTTAAGTACAATTTACAATTTTGTACCACTGTTCAGAAAGGAACGGACTTGCACTGTGTTCATCTGGGCATTGGGCATCTCCTCAAACAGTGTACAGCTGGGAAGGCATAGTGCCTGACTGCATTTTTAAAGAGAAAATTGATGCTCTGTTTCCATTTTGTAGGAAGCCAATTAGGCATTTCCTTCAGTAAATCTCAAGTGAAGGCAGGTATCTCCTTGCAGTCCTGAGCTGAGTATCAGAGCTCCAGCAGGAGGTGAATTTATCAATTTTTAAAAAATTGTTTATCAAAAAGTCATATATTTTATTTTTTTAATATTTAAGAATGAGAAAAATAAAGAGAAACCCTCCCATACTACTCCATCAGCAGTGCTGCATTACAAACATAGACTTACATCTATGCTAAATTTACTTCAGTAGTAAAAGCTGGGAGGAGGGTGTTGTTTGAACATACCAGCTGAGTTTTGTGATTAGACATGATCATGTGTCCAGAAATGTCTTCCTGTGCTGGTTTCAGCTGAGATAGATTTGATTTTCTTTATAAAGGCTGGTATGTTTTGGATTTGGTATGCTGTGTTTTGGATTTAGAATGAGAATAATGTTGATAACACACCGCCATTTTAGTTGTTGTGAGCATCATTTACACAAAGTGAAGGATATTTCAGTCCTCACAGAGCCCAGCCAGCAAATGGGCTGGAGGAACACAAGGAGCTGAGGGGAGATAGAACTGGGACAGCCAACCCAAACTGGCCCAAGGGATATTCTATACTATATGGTGAAATGATGAACAATAAAACAGGGAGGAGCTGACCATGGGGAGTTCGCTGCTGTTACTCAGTCAGCAGGTGGTGAGCAGTTGTGTTGTACATCACTTGTTCTGTATTTTGTTATTATTACTGTTATCCTTTCCTTCTCTTTCCTATTAAACACAAGTTTTTACTTTTTTCCAATTGTCTCCCCAATCCCACTGAGGGGATCTTTTCTAAAGTCAGAACATACAAATCCTGTTTTAATGTCACATTGACCTTTACACAGGACTCTGCAGAGTGCTGGCATAAGCCAATATGAATTTTTTTTTTTTTTTTGCAAACAAAGTTTATCATGTTATGTTACCAGAACCTCATCAGAAATTGAAGTCTAGCATGTGAAATGCTCTCGTAAATAGCTGTTTGATGATATCTTGATTTTTGGACTCTTGCAAATTAATGCATACATGGTGGAGAGGTCATTATGGACTCTGATGCATCATTTCAGGCGTGTATTGCAGAGTTGAAGTTATCTTTCATTCACGGTTGTTTTGCATGAAGAGTACAACAATTTGCTTGCTAAACCACAATGTGTAGCAAATCACCTGCAAAGCAAAGCAAAGCACTTAGCAAACAGCCTGTTTCACCTGTCACCAAGTGCGAATGTCAGGTATGAATAGTTCCCTGCTTTTTCCCTTCACTAATTTGACTCATCCATCCATACCAGTGAAGAGCAACCCTGGAATGGAAATGGAAAAATACAGGGCCACAGCATTTCAAATGAAGGGGAGCTTGAAGTGTTACATGTAGGAAGATCATGTACAATTTTACATATCAGGCAGAAAATAGGGTAACAGGGTTCTTGGTGTGTAAAACGAGAACTTGTATATTTGGATCAGTAAAATTTTAGAGGAAAAAAAAAATAGTGGCACACAGAGTTAGCCACAAAAAGAGCTAGTACCCTAAGGCAGTTTAAAATTTGCAATATATTAAAAAGTCTTCAGTTATCTAAATGCATGAGTCAATTTTAATCAATGTGATAAATGCAAAAAGTACTGTCAAGACCATGATTTAAATGGTGTAACTGAGGCAAGTGGGACACCAAATCTATATCTGTCATGAATTTGGAAATAAATTGAGGGAGTTAAGCAGAGCATTCTGCAAGCCTGAGCTTTGGTTCTGCCAAGAATAAGTAAGTGACTCAAATTGCCGTTTCATTGAACCCCAAGGTAGTTGCTGTGTTTCACTCACACCAACCCTGAGCAGCTGATAAAGCAGAGGGGGATGTGGGAGCTACAGAGAGCCAGCAGAACCCTGATAAAATGTCCATTCCACTGTTTTCAGGCTCTGAACAAATAATTTTCAGTGCATTCCATTGCAGGCAGTACAGTATCAAGGATAGCTTTTCCAGCAGGCTCTTCAGACAGGTCTTGCTGTCAGAGGGGAGTCTCTGAATCACTCAGCTCCATGCTGGGAAGTGAAGGAGCAAACAGCTGCTCCCAGACAAGAAAAACAAAAGCTAGAAGAGGGCAGAAAGGGAAAAGGGCAATTTCAGGAGGGCTGAAGAGTTCGTTCCTGAAATCATCTCTAGGAAAAAAAAGGAAAAAAAGAAAAAAAAGAAAGAAAAATGGAGGTAAACAGGAGAGGAAGATAATTCCTGAAGAAAGAAATCTAGACAGGGAAAGCAAATGGAGCTGGAAAGTTGCAGAAACACTTGAGACAACAAAATAAAGAAAGAAGGCGACAGAGCTGATAGTGGCCAAAATGTCTTCATTGTTTGACTGCTCATAAAGCCAATTTTCATGTTTGGAAGGTGAAAATAAAAGAAATTTTGAAAACAAAAGAGAAGTTTAAAAAGAGCCACAACATTTTGCCTGCCAATGAGGAAAGTGCTGCCATCAGGTTCTCCATTTCTCTTGAGTGGGGTGGGGTGGAGGCTGCTTTACAATGACATGATGGGTAGAGCCATAGGAGCTTTTTCCAAAAGCAGGCAAGCACAGCATGTTAACAGCTGAAATGGAGTTCAACAAAGTTCTTAGGTTCCTCTTCCCTTCCATTTTCACTCTCTAACAGCTGGACTGACTGCTAATTTTAACAAGCCTTAACCCTCACCAGCTAAAAAGGGGAGTAAGACATTGCAGTCAAAAATATTTTCTGCAAGATTACAAGAGAAACAAACTTATCTTCCTGTAATCATTCTCTATACCTTTCACTAATGCTTTTATCTGCTAAAATTAAATATTGTTAACTATTTTTTTAATCAATTGTTGTTTTCTTTGTTAAATGATCTTAAGAATAATAGCAGGAAATGTATTTTATGTATTTATGTATCTCTCTTTTTGCCTTTACAAGCACTTTACACTCGAGGCACAAATGTGTGAGATATTTTTTTGGAAAGCACAAAGCTTTTGCCTACTGCTTTGTGTGAGGCTTTGGCTTTAAATAAAGGTCACACCATTTCTGAGGAGAGAGATTGTAGGGGAAACATTTACATGAAGTAACATTGTCTGTTACGGAACTTTTGCTCTGGTCTTCCCCTTCAGAGTCACTTTAAAATCCCAAAGATGTTTTTGCTCAGTGATTCACAGATTCTTGTTAGTTTTCTGCATGTGCTGGGCATTTTCTGAATTACAATTAGTTTTGTTGGACCTGGACCATGTTACCAAAACGGTGCCAATAGCCAGTAGCTTCAACACCTACACGGAGTTCTCTGAGCTAGTAAACTAGGTTTCCTTCACAGGCAGTGCAGAGAAACAGGGATGTCTTGGGCACAAAGCATCTGACTAATTTTGGGCATCCACTGCAGCTGATCTTAATCTTGTTTTATAATTACCTCTTTCTGTTCACTGACAGTGAAGGAAGTCTGGGGTGATCACCACAGATGTAAATATCTACATCTACTCACAGGAGTCCTGTCCTGAACATGGAGTTTTTATTATGACTGTTAAGTGGCTGAACTGGCGAGTGAGTTGGGTCCTCAGTGGACACAACTGGCCATCAGCCCAGTTTGAATGGTATAGCACTTCAAGGGGAAAGGCCTAGGGCTGGCCCAATGCAGAGCCTCAGCCTGTGCCTCCATTCCAGGGATGAAGGTAGTGAAGAGCTGGGAGGTTGCCAGGGGGAGACAATTAGCCCTGCGTGAGGCTTAGGAGCAGACCTCTCACCTTCCAGGTGAATCATCAGGCTTGACAAAATTTAACTGCTGATTTGACCTGTGTTCAGAAAGGGAAAATAGAAAGGAAAAAGTCAGTGTTTTAACACACCTTTTGATGTCCTTGCTTTTCTGTATTGACAAATAAGATGTTTATCTCTGTCCTTTCTTTTTCTCTCACCCTACCTACACATCACCGAATCTGGGATCACCTAAGGAAACCCATGAGAAAAGAAGAGAATGGAACCAGTCGGGCTGAATATGCAATGACCTCCTCCCAAAACAACAAAACAGTTGATAACAATGCCGTTGTATAATCCCTGAGATCCTACTGACTCTCAGGAGGTGGTAAACTTTTAAAGCACAGCATGGAATATGCAAGGTGGGTGAAATAAGGCAACGAAAGGAGCTCTGTGGCCAAGGACTTCATTTCAGAAATAGCGCACGTATCAGTGATTCAGAAGAGAAAAGCAGACTGCTCTTCAGGCTTGCTGCTTCTCCAAGGGAGGATAATCTCCTTCTCCAAGGGACGTAGATCCAAGCTGCCCAGAGAAAAGGCATCACAAAGCATTGCATGCTGCATCTCATGAAAGCAACATCATGATGCCTTCTGTTTCTTCTTTCCCCAATTCTTAGTCTGAGTAGAGCGCTCCCAAAAAGTTCTTTATATAGGGTCTTCAGAGGAAAAGGTGACCTGCTGGAGTGGCAGCAGCTTACTGTAAATGAGTCTGAGGGTGGAGCTGTCACCTACATATTTTTCCAGTCTGAGCAGTGTTTTCACCTAGGACCTCGCAGCTTTGTGCGCTTATAATTCATTCATTCTTATCATTCTTATTATTTCATTAGAAAAAAAAAAAAAAAGAAAAAAAAAAGGTAAAAAAATCTGTTAAGCCATCAAGGAACCAAAAATTGCATGAAATTGTGACTTATCCCAGGAGATTTGTCTGTGGTCTGGTGACTATGCAATTTCCATGGCTGAAGACTTTTCAGGCAAAAGAAACAACATTAATTTAGCCATTAGGCTTGCTAATAAAAGATATGATCAATAGGTGCTTTGAACATTATTGCTTTGTAATCAGCCTCCTTTTTTGCATCATGTTTCATTTCTTTTTACCTTCAGAAACTTCTGTTTTGGTGAAAGTCTGCACATTTCTCTGTGTTTGCCTCATGCTGATTTGCCAGGGAAACCCCTACAGGAAAGTTTTTGTTTCCATCTTGAAGTATTTGGGTGGGATTGTGTTGCAAGGATGAGCAACCTTTTGAAGTCCTCTTCATTCACTGACAAGTGTTGCTTCCTGAAAGTGTTAAGTATCATGAACTGACCCACTGAGGATGTTGTAGATCTGGCTTGGAGGGCCATTTTCTTAGGGCCTGGTAAGCTGGCTATGCTCACATTAATTCAGTTTCTGCCTCTCCTGGCAGAGACTGCCAATCCTGCCGAATTCAGCGTAATAGCTTAGTGTTGTACTTTTCATGGCATGGATTGCTGACTACTGAAAGCAAAGCTGAATCCACCCAAATTCATTTCATGTAGGATCTCAGGTTAGATTCAGTAAGCAACACTTAGGATAAAGGCGATCAAGCTGCTGGTCTTTCCCCATCTCCTGAAAACTTTCCTTTGTGTCCCATCACCACACATGTGACTTTATTTACCTCTGTGCTGAAGGTAACGACACAGTGGTTCTACCCTGCTTCTTGTCTGGACCTCAAGCACCGATTCCACTCTGTTTCCATGTGTGAGTAACTCCCAGGCACCAACTCAGTCTTGCTCTGGGACATAGCTGTTTCCCAGCTGTCGCTTCTGTTGTTAATGCAACACACTGATACTTTCAGTTCGACATAAGGATGTGCCTGAACTGCAGAAACCAGATTTTGATTTTGAACACGTTCCTGACTGCATTTGGTCTACTTCTAGGATGTAGAGTTTGGCCTAGAGGAAGACAATGTTCTGTAGACCCTTCCTGAAAAACCTCCAGGATGTTCAAATCAGCATTTTCAGATCAGGCCCATGTCTAATATTCAATTACCTATTAACCAGTAGAGTATATGTAAATATAAGTATCTTTCTAATGATAAAACGAAATGCTGCTGTATACCACCACTGAGGAATTTGTGGAGTTACTAGCTTTTTGGCCTGTCATCACTACATAAAAGTTTAGCTACATAAAATTATTTTTTAAAAGCTAGAATTTCTTGAGAAGTGAATGCAATTATAAAAGTTAAAGGGAATAAGTGACCCTTTGCCCAAAAGTACAATCGTTACCTTCCATATTTACATTGTGTGCTTGCACAAGATACAGCGATATGTTCTTACATCCAAAGTGAGATTAAAATGACAGAATTTCGAGTCTAGTATTCTAAATGTTGATTGCCTAAAGCACTTAGCCCCTAAATACTATAATAAAAATATTACAAGTATATTTCTAGAATATTTTTTAAGCTATAACATTTATTTTGGTGTAGTTACCGATGTTTGCCTTTTTTTACTCCAGTTCTTTCTGCCTAAATGTGACACAGTCTGAGACTGGTTGCAAGTTTAGCTGAGAGTATAAGTGTGAATGCAGATGAGTTTAGCATGATACAGGCTCAGGATCAGCACTTTCTCCTAAAGGTTCTTGATTTTATTTATTTTCTAATAAAGCTTTAAAAGCATGTTCTGTAAAGCCAAAATCTCAAAAGGGATTTGTAGCTCATTATGTTTATCAAAATGTGTCTGTTTCTGCAAGAATAAGTCTAAAGAGATGATCAATGGATACTGTCTTATTTTCAGTGATGTCAGTGGTAAAATGGCCTCATTAACTGAAAATCCTGATACATGACATAACCCATGACCAAACCTCTCACAGGCCCCAGAGGTCTTCTCAGTGAAAGAGATGTTCAAACCTGGTGTGGAGCAGGGAGCTAGGAGCCACACATGGGGACTGGCATCTGTTTTCAACTCTGCCATTCACCTGCTATTTACTAGCAAGTAATTTTGCCTCTCTGCACCTCAATTTACCCATCTGTATAATTGAGATAAAATACTTAACAGCTCTGTGGCAGAATTTTGAGAGACATGAACATATCTTACTTGCACAGGCAGAGTTACAATGCCATTATATCCAACGTGCTGATATTAAATAAATGTATTTGGGAACGTCATTACATAATATTTGTACTGCCCAAAGCATTTCATAAATAAACATTCCTTCACATGTTTTCTTAGTCTACTGGACACAGAAGAGCAGTAGCTGACAAGCTGGGAGTTGCTTCTCCCTGCTTGTCTAGTCATTTGCTCTCAGCACTTACACAGCTGCGTGGCTGGGAGAAATAGAAAATTCCATTTGGGGCAGTTTTGCCTGTAGAATCCTGGGCATCTTCATACAGTTGACTACAATGCACCAGAAGTTTAAGGTGATCTACAGAAAGTCTCTTGGAAAAGTATGCTGGAAGCAGATTTAAATCTTCAGAAAAGACAGACCAGATAGGCAGTGTCTTTGGGGAACGATTTTTGAAGTTTTCTTATGAGGTTTAAGTGTTTGTCTAATACTCTTCAGAGTACTTGGAAAGCTTTTCTGAAATGGCTTTCTATTCTTCCCTGTTGTACCATTATTAAATACAGAAGGAAAGGAAAGGATAGACAAGGGCTCCACTAAGCAGTGACCCTGGATCTGGGGAACTGGCAATTCAAAGTACAACTTTACAAGGACTGCAAGTTTATTTTTAGATACAGAAAAGCCCTCCATAGCTCCAAAAAAGCCAGATCCTCAGTAGTTACAAAGGTGGCATGTTTCTAGGCAAAAGTATAATGCTCTACTGTGACCCCCCTCTGACCACCACCAGACAGCCTTGCAAAATAGAAAACCACTTTTTTCAGTCTGAGGGTGAGCATTAATTCAACATTTCTTTTTAAGTACCAACACAAGTGTAGGCTGCACTTTAAGGGCCTGAGCTACAAAGCACTGAGTTTCCTCAGCACTCAACAGGAAGGTGCAGCTGAGGTGTTAATGTCTTGCAGGAAGCCTCAGCCCTGCAGCCCTCCCTGGCTCAGACCTGCCACAGGGCTGTGACCAGGAGTGCATCTCCACCTTGCATACATGTTTCAAAATTCAGACATGGAAGGAAAGAGGAGAGTTCTACCAAGTTTAAGATATAAATATGTTGATATATATCTAGATAGAGACCTAATTGTCCAGTCTTGCATGCCATATGGTCATGCATAGCATGTGAAGCGAGCGTGGCCCTGCTTCTCCAACCAGGTAATGGCCATAGATGCTGCCAAGCAATGGAGAATCAGGCCTGTGGTAGATATGTATTTACAATACTCCCTGCATCTGTACAAACCAAAATATATTATTTTAAACTGCAAAATAGTGTGTTTGAATCAATGCATGAATGTAAATACTCTAAGATCTGCCTTCTTGACTGTGTACCACATGTACAGATGAAAACAAATACTATTTATAGGAAATCTGTATTGGTGGTTAAATAACTAAAGAGAAAAAAAAAATCAGAATTAATGTTGTCATGTTTTTCAAACAAGCCATTAATGTATATTTAGTATTTAAGGATATTGCTCAACAAGTATGTTCCGTACCAAAAACTGTGTTGCAAATACAGATTGTGCAGTACCCTATTTTAAAAAGGCACCATAATTACTTTTTATTTTAAATAAAAATGTACTTGTAAAAAGTTTCCTGTGTCCTGTGGGTTGTGTAGCTAAGGGCTGGGACATGGTGAAGAGAAAAGCTGCAGGGGGGAATGACTGTGGTGCCTCCTTAGGCATTCTCCTACTGCTGAATTTACCCTGTTTGTTTAAACATGCTTTCTGCTCTGGTTTCAGCACAGCTTGTGGCTGCTGACATCTGGTTGGGTTCTGGTGCATCTTGTCCAACCCTCAGTTTCAGTCCCAGTCCTTTGCACTGCTACAAGATTTTAGCCCTGTCCATTTCTTACTCTCACCCCATACTGGGGTTCTTGCTTCTTCAAACAACAAGTGCCTGAAATAACTCCCCAGGTACTTTCAGGCTACTGAACCAGATCAGTTTTACACAGGCCTGCATGGGGTGATTTTTATTCCAAGTGTGGAGTCATCTTGGTTAGCTTTAATTCAATAGATGGAATTTCCTCACGGTACAAAGATTTGTCTGCCTAATTCGTAGAGCTCAATAGATTTCACTGGTCCCTTGTGAATAATTTCACATCCCCATTTACAGGATCTCTTGAACAAACCCCAAACCAACAAAAATATAAAATGAGCAATAACCACTATGCCATGTACTGTAATATCCAGGAGACTTAATTATTAGCTGTTTTATGAAAGAAAGCCCCCATATTAGAATTTCCACATGACCACAGAAAAATACCTCTAGAAGACACTTGTCTTCACTTCAGACATCAAAGCTGCCAGTTCAACATCCACACTTCCAGCCTGTAACAGAGAAAGAAGCGCCTCACTATGAAGAGGAGACTTCCACAACAGGGAGAGACTGGTTGGAGACATTGGTAGGACACAGACCCTCAAGTCCTAACAATAAAAATATCAATCAAGAATTCACTGCCATTTGACTATTTGTATACTTTAGTCCTGGTGAAATGGTTGTGTGAAACAAAGCACGAGCATATTAAAAAACAACCAAAGCCCTGGTTCTCTTTGGTGAACGACCACAGTATTTGGTGGCTGATTAGACTGGAACAGTGCAGGAGAGCTCCAAACCAAAAAAACTGAAGGTGTTTTAACCACTGCTGAAAATATTGCTAAATAGGAGACACGGTGAGTAACTTGCCTTGCTGTGAAGCCTGGTGTTGTCTGGTGTGCTTTTCCTTCACTGCCCCATCACTGGAAACCAGCATTATGATACCAATAGAGTAATTAAATTACTGGGTTTTAATATTATTTGGAGAGGGAGCAAGAGAAGAATAATGAGGGAGATGCAGTGTATGATGTGACTTTGGTAATATACAATCATTATCAAGTGTATTTCAATGATTTCATCTGGTCACATGCATTGCCAAGGTCTACAGAATTTTAATAGATGTCCAGTACAATTACTTTCAAATAACAACTTTCTCCATTTCTGAAAGAGGCCCTGATTTGGGCATGCTTGATTAACACGGGTGTTGTCTTTGCCCACCAAAACTGTCAGATGTTTAAAAATCCTGATGTGTTGGTCTTAGGTTATTAATGTATCAAAATTCTTATTAGCTGTTTCTTTTTTATCAAAAATACTGCCTCCAAGCTGATCTTCCATTAAATAAAGATGTTATCTAAGCTTCACTATCCTAACTATTAGATCCTCAACCAGTTTTATAGCACAGAAACAATTATCTAATTGCAATCTAACAGAGGAGTCGCCCTTCCTAGCATTCAGGAATTAAAACAAAAGCACTCATTGCCACATTTAAACACTTGTCATGTTGCTCCTGCCTTGCATCATAGCACAATTTGGTATAACCATGCAGATCAGCAATTCTTCCAATTACTTTGAGCATCTGAGTAGAGTTGTCATAGCATCCTCCTGCTCCAGTCCATCCTGCCAGAAGCATCCATATTCTCTGTAAGCCCCAGCAAGGGCTCCTTACTTGGACACAGAGAAAGGCAACAATGCCTGGGTTAGGCATCCAACCCCTCAAGTAGGAATTTCTAGGGAGAGGGAGGGACGGTGCAGCTATTGGGCACAGGATACAGCACCAGCACCCCTTAGTTCTGCCACTATGGTCACCAAACAAGTTAAAGTATAGCAGCACACGACTGAGGTTAGGGGTGAGTAGTCAAACCTCCCCTCCTCCCTTACCATATATCATAAAATGACATAAGTGTATTACACCCATGAAAGATGCATTGTTGCACTGACCTGAGCTTGTGATCAGCCTCCCATGCTGCTGGAGAGTGGCTGGACAGGATTAATGTAGTCCTTGGAGACCCAGCTCTGCTTCCCCAATGATTTACAAAAGAAGATCCTACAGGCTTTAGTTTCTGCCTCACTGTATAGATGGCAAAGCAACAACAAGCTGATTTTATAATAAGCGCTGGCTAGATACATCAAGTTCTCTTTCTGGTTTGTTGGTTTCCTTAATCTGTGAGCATCCATAAAAACATTTAAGTGGTATATATATTTCTCTTCCTGAAAGTACTTTCTATTATATATCACAGGGGCTGAAGGAGAAAGGAAGTTTCTTTGTAAATAGCAGCTGGATGTTTTTTTCTTATGCATTGATATAAATTTCTTGAACCAGGTTTTGTGCAGCACAAAAAGAACTTTGAGCCAGAACATGAATAAATTTCCCTCTAAGTTCAGCATCACTTCCCCCTGCACACGCACACAGAAATGCTTTCAGTATTTAAGGTTTCATTTAACACAGCCATAGTCGGAAGCAGAAAAGAAAGTATAAAGAAAAGCAGCAGTATGGCAGACACGTACAAGTGAGCGAGCCTGTGAGCCAGAGACAGCCTTTCCCATTTTGATTTGTAATTTGAGGATAATTCAATTAGACATTTCAAGCAATTTAAACATCCATGCATTGTCCAGCACCAAAGCATGAACTGTTCAGCAGCAAACTAGACCTGACAGCCTTAGCAAGCCAAGTACAAATCTCAGCATTTCAAATGAAAAGACCTCACCTAATTGATGCCTACCGGAAAATTAAAAAAAAAAAACAAAAAAACAAAAAAACAAAAAACGGGACTGCCAGGAGGGTGTGGGGGGTGAGAAAACTGCAAATGGCAGAATGAGGCATATATCCCGATCAGGGACTTCACACCTCATTAGCAGTCATTTGCTTAACAGAATATTTCCAAGGCCTGTGTGTTCCTCTTAGAGAGAGATTAAAATCTGAATGCACCTGATCACCCATCTGCTGCTCCTCTCCAGCGGTGGCTTAACAGCAGGCAGTTAGCAGAACGGAATGGACCTGCAGCTGCTTAGTGCAGCCCGAGCCATTGTTAAGCCACACTATCAACTAATGCCAACCTCCCTGCACTGTACCCACACAGCGGGAGAAGCCCTACCTGGACAAGCTTGTGGACATGGCAGGGAGAAGTCAGACAGCAGGAGTCACTGTTCCTACATCTATTTCTGCCCAGCAGGTATTGCGCAGCAACTTCCCCAGCACCGCAGATAAGCCTACCCAGGGGTAGAGGCCGAGCTCATTACCTGTCACGCTGCCCTTATTTGCCCACTGAGCATAAGCAGCTGAGTTCCTGCTGGGGGAAATCATGGCTGAGTCCAGGGCACAGTTTAGTGATGTTAAAACACCATATGCATTTGAATTTTAGAGGGAGTTTAAAATAAGGAAGTTTCAGTGTCTTGTTTGCTTTAAATGTGTTGTTCCTTACGACCTCTCATGTCAGGGGAAAAAGATTTGTTTTCTCCCCAACAAGCTGCCCTTCAATCAGCAGGTCACATTCACCTAGACTGGCTGCCTGGCAGGCTGACTGTTTTGATGGACACAGATCTGGGCTGCCCAGAATCACTCTTTTCATTATCAACATTTAGAGGCAGGCTAAGATAATAACATGACTCATCAAGAAAAGCTTCTCTGGCAGCAACATGCCTTTGGTGTACTTTCAACAGCTCCTCAGACCATTGCCAAAGAAGAAACAAGACCTGCAAAACTTTTTGCAAAGGTATCAAGCATCTTCCCTCTTCATTTTAATCACTGTATATTCAAAGTTTACTAAGTAGACAACATTTACTCCTTCCAAAGTAGAGAGGTCTTGCAGAGAGATCTTGACAAGATGCAGGGCAAGGCAGTTATCAACAGCATGAAGAGCAGTATGAGGTTCTACACATGGAAGCGGGAAGCTGTGGATATACTTGCAGACTGGGGGACAAGAGGCTGGAGAGCAGCGCTGCAGGAAGGGATCAGAATGTTCCAGCTGATGGTAAGTTGAACATGAGCCAGCAATGTGCCTTTGCAGCCGTAGGGCCAACAAGTTAGGAAACTCCTGATTTCCATTCTCTACAGGGCATTTGAGCTGATTAGGTAAACCATCTGACAAACCTGCCTTTAGTGAAGTTGTCCCATCTGCAATACTCCAGCTAAATTTAAGGCACTGGGTTTCAGTCAATTATTGTCCAAGAATAAATTAAGTGAATATCTTAGAATAAAATTGAGGGTAGAATTGAACAAAACCAATTCAAATCACTTGTTTTAAAAAACTTTAGTTTTGAGGGATCGAAACCATTTGCAAATTCAGTTCAAAATGATCAATAATTTTTACCCTTAAAATCCTTGTGGTAATTAGAATGGGAAAGAGGATACTCTGAAATGGCAAAACATTTATTTTGGACATTAAATACGTCACACACTCAGACCCAGCAGATAGATTGACAATTCCAATTCAAGTTTCCTGTCCCTACCAGGGAACATTGAATATTACATACTTATCTCATTTCCAAAGCAGAGGCTGAATTTGTTCTTCTCACTCTCTCTTCTCTCTCTACTGTCTAAAGAAATCTATGAATGCCACTTCTATCTACTGTCCTATTAATACAAACAACCAGCCACCAATAACAAAAAAATGTATTATTGCTGTGTTCTTCCTGCTTGGATATATTCTTCCTGCACATTCAGACAAGAGCCAAGATGATGAATGCATCTTTTAAACCACCCTTAGTGCCAGCATAATAAAATGCTAGCAGCGCTCAAAACCAGCTTGCAAAGCAAAACAGAGGTGTGCCCACAATGACTGTT